TATCCAATATGCCTCCTTCAATTCAAGCTTCATATATTTCACTAGCTGGACTTATTTTAACATAAATAAACAAAAATACAAAAATCAGGATTGTGACCATGAACTCCATTTTGATAATCCCACACATCCTTCATTTTCTTTAAATTTATATATAAATGTGAACATATGCATATGTATGTTTATATACTTTATGTAGACTTGTAGCAAAGCTTGAGCAAATAATCTTAAAAAGAAAAAAATATTGTTTACAAACTGACTGACTCTAATTTTGCCTGTAGTGATGCTGTAAAAGAGAATCATTTATCAACTTAAGAAGTTATGCTCTGTTAAAAATATTCTCTAACTATAGAAGCATGTTAATGCATGAGTGCAGTTTACTTTTAGTTCAAAGAATCACAAACAATTGCTTACTATGATTTAATAATATTGTAAAATATGACTTTTTGAAATACTATAGGTAGTCATACTTTATAAACAATTTATCATAATTACGATAGATAAAAATTAAGTATACATTATCTCTATATATTATTCTAAACATGTGCATATATTGCAGGTATATATTAATTCTTTCAACACTAGAAGAAATGAATTCTATTATTATTCCCATTTTTCAGGTAAAGAGAAAGACTAAATTGCTTATCCAAAATCACATTAGTTACTTTGGTAAGACCCATTTGAACTCAGGCAGTTTGACTTCAGAACCCATGTTTTAAGCTGTTCATTAACTTTTGTATACTGTTGGGAGGCTAGATCTGGATTTATGTAATCATATAATCTAGTGGCAGGAAGAACCAAGTGACCAGAAAGTGGTATTCTCTTCACAATATATAAGGAGCATAAGAAGTCAGGGCTGGCAGATAAGATGAAAAGTCCGGAGTTCCTGTGTGGTGAGTCTAGAATTCATGGTCCAGCATAAATCAGATTAAGGGAAAGTAGAAGAGCTGGACACAGATTTAGGAAATTGCTTTAGAGTCAGTTTATCTAAAGCCTGAATGGCCCTTCATAGAGGTTATGTCACGTTCTGCTGTCATAAATTTCAGAATAGCAGATGCCATGTCCTTTAAGCGAGTCCCCAAAGATCCAGGGTTGTAGATTTGATTAGATTGTGACTGCATAGAAACATTTTGGGGCTTTTGCTGATATCTGGTCACCAGGGACTTAAGGTCAGCTGAGAGTTCTGCAGCAGCTTGTATGAGGCTTCTTATATCTGACACTCATCCTGAAGGTGAACTACTGGCATGCTTGTGGTCCAGTGTCAGGATATACATGCAGATCCTCTAGATTTTATCTCCTGTCAAATACTTTAAAAGATACTAAACAAAACATTCCACTGACAAAGCCTTTGTACCATTCACTCTTTTATTAGACCCCATCTGAACTCAACATATTTTTCAATCAATATTCCAGAGCTCCTCCAAACAACTCTTCCATTATAGTCAGACTATTGATTTAGCGTCCTGAAATTTCCTCTTCAGTTGAATTTATCTTGTTTAACATTTTGTCCTGGTGTCTATATTCCTTTTCTTCCCCAACCTAGATTTTATAAATATGTCAAAAAGTACTGGGAATAGCCTGTTTTTCCCATGAAGCCTTCACCTAGCCACCTTGTCTACTATAATATCTCTCATTCTTTTCATAAAATAACTTACATCATCAATTTGACATTTGGTATATATTCTTACTCTGTTTACTAGGTTTTATTAGTCTTTTCTTTTACACTGCTACTGCAAATACTTTGAGAATATTGATAAAATTTACAACTCTAAATGTAAAATATAATATACCTGTGAATAGTCAAATCTAAATTAAATAATTGCTGGTTGGTTGTTAATTTTTTAATATGCTGAATAAGACATGTCTGCTCTGTGTAATCAAAAATATTGCATCAAAAGTGTTCCTTAGTTATTATAGTTTTTACTCTAACACCACCTTTAAAAAGTAAATAAAAAGTGCCTTCACCATTGAGTTCAAATATTGGATTATTCATATTAAAATGTCATTAGAACATAAAAACCAAGTTGATAGCTCAATTTCAGTACAGTAATTAACCATACATATCTTGGTTTTAAGTGTGTCTTAATAGTTTTTGATGACAATTAAAATTAAATTTTACAAGCGGAGCATGAGTCATTTAGTGAAATTAATGTATTATATAATTATCATTAGGTAGCAACAGGAGGCCATTATGATACATCAAAATTCCATCCTATGAACATTACAACTTCTCTGAAACTGTGCAGAATCAGTTGGATGCAGCCTGCTTTGAATGTTTCCCTCTTCTTTGTACTTTCAAAATCGTTTTAGTTTTTATGAAAACATGTTATTGCCTCAAGACCAAGACAACTGCACTGTATCAAATTATGACTGCTAAAGTCCATATTTCAATTTTAAAAACTGAAATAAATTATAGAGGCCATTTCTCATCAAATTTAAGAACTAGAAAACAAGATAAAGGTTAATGCAATAATTCCCTCAGGGACAAAGACTCATTAGGAAAAGCAGCAAAAATTTTAAAAAAAGAAAAAGAAAAAAGGAATTTAACTAAAAACTAATCATCATGCTGATGTTTACTTATGTGTTATTGGTTGTATATTCCATATGGGTTTTATCTCCCTAATGCAAATGAATTAAGAAAATGGGCAAGATCATTTTTATAAACGATTTCATGACCTGTTTGCTTTATCTCAATAGTTGATAGATATTACTAAATGAAACTTTCAGTTTTTGTAATGTTGCATTGTAGAGTAACAATGTTAAAGTAATTTAATTGTCAGTATGATTAGAGTATTCCATTAATTCTTGCCTCATCTGCCTGGACTATTGCAATTGCTTCCTATTTCAGTTTTCTAGATGTAGAATCTTCCATTTCAGTCTACTCAGGAGCAATCTACAAAATACCAATATAATGTTGCCATATGTCAGACCTGCTAGTGGTTGCCCCATCACCTTTATGACATGGTAGGGAAAAGTGTTTATAAGATAGCATGTTTTAATCATTATAATTATTATGTACCACACAAGATTTCTCTATGCCTTTACTTACATAATTATCTTTACCTAGACAGCTCCCAAGCCCTCCCAACTTCCCTCTGACCAGTATTCATCCTTCATAAGTCAGTTTCTACTTTGTTGTTTCTTTCTTTGTCTCTTTTTCTCTTTCTGTTTCCCTTTGCACACCACCTTATCAGACTTTATCACCATGTTTGCTTACATAGAAGAAATTGTCAGTGCCCTATGCATGTCCTTCAGAGCATTTGGTATGCTCTGGCCAACTTCCACCTGCTAGTATCAAAAGCCTGATTTAATACCATATATCAAAATTTGCAGAGGGACTTTGGTTACTTGCTTGTGCCAAAGTCAAGAAGAACCAAAAGTTGCCACTTTAAGCTCCATTATAGCAGCCAGTAGCTCTCAGGATTTAGTATATACATTTTCCAGTTTCATCCTTCTCAAGAGGGGTAATTCTGATATATGCATTTCTACTTTTCTCTAGAGTTTGCCCTTAGGATTCAGCTCTAATTCTCCTAGTGATAGCTGGTTTAATAGAAATCCCTTAACTGTCTGCCTTCTCTTCTTTGCATCACTTTCTTACTTCCCTATAGTATTACTTAAACTTCTCAAAGAAACAATTTATACCTGAATATTTTATCTCCACAATTTTTCCTGGAGAATCCACCGTAAGATATTTGACACCAAAGGTACTGTGGGGGGGCAGAACCTTCAGATGGGATTCTGCAGTTGAATCTCTTGCTGGCCAGTTGGCATTAAGATCAGTTGGCATGTTATAACATCAGAATGACCAACATTTTCCCCTGTGGTGAATTGGGATGGCATGAAGGTGCAAGGAGATGTATGCCTTAAGCAATATTTCCAGAATTTGAAAGAGATAGTGAAAATGATAATCATAATGACTATGGAATTGGTAGTTATGTTCAGTAAGCTGAAGGAAGAAAATGACTTTAATTCAAAAAGGCTTAAACTAGTAAATCAAAACCTCAAGACAGAACGTAAAAATCACAAGATCTCTATAACAGTATTTAAAGAAACCCTCTTCTTTTGCAGCCAGAGAAGATTGCACTAAAAATCTGACTCTCTGTCTGATTAAGAGAGTAACAGAACAGTTCAGAAGGCTTACTTCAGAGCACCAACAAGACTTTTGTGCAAAAGCCAGGGCCTTACCAGGGAAGGTATCACCCTGACGCTTGGGTTTGCAACACCCAAGCGGCTACTCCTCCTTACTAGAGAAAGTTCTTTCATTTCCTGAAGACCACATAGACACCTCAACTGAGGCAGATGCTTCAAAATATGCACATCTTCTGCAAAATATTTTCTCCTCTGTAGCTCCCAATTAACTATGTTCAAAATCAAGCAGGGCCCAACTGAGGAAATACTATCTGTGCTTTAAGAATAAATGGATTATTCATCAAATGAACCGCAGAAACTGGCTCATATGTTCAGGAAGGTCTCAGGAGAGCATGCCTAGAAATAAATCCTCAGAATGCTGAATAAAGGATATATGTAAAATGTAGGACACCTTGTAGATTCTAAAGATTTGTTTATACAATCAAATGAATTCACATATAAATATGTATTTTGTTGTATGAATGTCTACATCTATACCTAACGTTACACTTAATTATATAGTTATCTAAGATATTTTAATACCATAAATAAAACCATATATAAAATAAAAACAGTCTCATATTAATCAAAGTTTAAAAAATACAGTGATCATAAAGTACAAATCTATATACTTAACAAATTAAATTAAAATATATAGAATAAATCAGTGTTTAAATCATACAATGATCATAAGTATTTATTCATATACTTAATAAATTGAATTAAAATGTATAGAATATGATTTTTTTTAATTGGTGTATCTAGAACAGCCATTTAACAGATTACAAAGCCCTCATCTTTTTTTAAAACTATAATTTAAGAAACGTATGCACTTAAAAACACACATTTAAGATATATATAAAAACTCCACTTACCCTTACTTGACCCACAAAGGCATTGGCTTCTTCCTCCACCACAGATAAATTTCTAGGCAGATAGGGATCAAACACTGGAGCATTGTCATTGACATCTGTCACCACCACATTTACTGTGGCAGTTGAAGTCTTAAAGAAAAAAAAATAAATGTGAGAGGTACTATTTTTATTTTGAATTCATTTAAGTGGTCATCCCAGCATTTCTCTCTGAAAAGCATCTCATTCCTATTTATAGTTCTTAGCTTTTCAAAAAAAAGTTAAAAAGAAGCTTGCAATTTCCAAGCACCTCAAAAAACAGATGGGAAAAAGCAAATGATGATATTAAAGGGCAAACATCTCCTGGAAAATGTCAAGTATTTCCTGGAGGCCTACTTTCAGACAATGATTTTATCCTTATCTTGTTCACATTTTATGGGTGACAAGCTTTTGTTTATACACACATACACTCTTTTATCTCTGAAATATGCAATTTCTATAGTTTTTGCTGTTTAAAAATATAACTATATATTATAAAGGAATATGGCACATTAAGTAGATATTTTCATGTAAGCTAATGCTTTCAGGAAATACTACCTCATTAATTTTCTAGGTTTATATCTAAACTCAAATCTTCAGTACCATAAACTATTCATGAAATGATTATCTTGTAAGCATACAGCTGTGGAAATGGTAAGCAGGCAAACTCACCAATAGTACATGCTACTTAGTTAAAAGTTAAATTTCTGGCCTGCTGCAATCAGAAAATATTATATAGGTCAATGACTTTTGCACAATCAAGGAACATCTTCATGTGTGAATCAGGCTGGAAACTGCTCTCTCTAATCAAATCCTGGGTACAGCACATAGCTTCTACCTGGCCCTGTCACATTGCGGGGCAGATCATAGAAGGCCAAGAGCAAAGTCAACAGAAAGAAAAATCTTAGTCTAGAAACTACAAATTTTGGTATGCTGTGGTAATTAAACTATTTAGTAATGTGTAAATAAAAATAAGGAAGAAAAGCAGTATGACACTGTAAAGAGAGAATTATCCAACTTTTGTTTTAAAAAATACAAACATTTATATTAATTTATAAGTGATTGTAGTGAGAGACTAAACAGCTGAGCACTAAGAAGTGACAAATAGCCTGGCGTGGTGGTGTGCATCTGTAGTTCCAGCTACCTGGAAGGCTGAGGCGAAGGGATCACCTAAACCCAGCAGGTCGAGGTTGCGGTAGCCGTGAGCATGCCTCTGCTCTCCAACCTGAGCGATAAGAGTGAGACTCCAACTCAAATAAAGCAAATAAATAAAAAGTGACTAAAAGTGGGTGGAGCTGAAAAGGTTTTGCACAGTCTGGGGTTGAGAGGTCAAGTAATTAAGTGATTTCCTAGCTACGAACAAGGAGAAATTTTGGTAAATACCCCATAGTTTCTGTTGGGATTGCTGAAGTTCTGAAGTTCTACAGTATATGAGTTATGGTGCATGGGCACTAGGCTAGACCTTACTCAGATTTAAACCCAATATTCAAATTCTGACTGGACTAAGGTGATCTGGCTCATTTAACAGAAGCAAAAGCAAATTCTCTTTTCAGTTACATAACTTCATCTCAAGCCTCTATAGTCTTTTGATACACAATGTTCAGCAGTCATTAAAAAATTACCATGCATAGCAAGGAATACTTGGGTGATGGTAGTGGCTAATTTCTTTATCTGAGTACTGGCTATATCAATGAACTCATCTCTTGAAAATTCACATAGCTATTTACATATGATTTGTACATATTTCTACATTTAATGGTCAAAAATTTTATTTAAAGACATGTACAAAGGTGACCAAAACAGTACTAGGCTACCAAACTCTGGGATCGACTCAAATGTCCATTGATAGTAGTTATATAGATTATATTTTATGCATGCAATGGGATAATATATAGTACTAAGAATGCACAAACTCCTGCCACAAGTAATCAGATGGATGAATTTCATGAACATAAAGTTCAGTGAAATAAGTCAAACAGAAAATGGTACATACTAATTTCATTTATATAATTTTCAAAAACAGGCATAATCGCTACATGATAATAAAAGTTAAGATATGGGATCACTTTGGGAAAGATGATGGAGTAGAAAGAGATATAATCATAAGGTTGAGCTTCTGAAGTGCTAATTAGTTTCTGTTTTTTGTTATGAGTAGTGGTTATATAGGCATGTTTGCTATGTAAAAATTCATTAAGCTGTACAGTTATGGTTTGTGTATTCTCCTGTGTGTATGCTATATTTTCATGCAATCATTTAATTTAAAAGATGCATACACACAAGCCTACTTGTGTGTAGATGTACGTAAATATGTGGAAAGAAATTCAAATGCTATTCAACTACGTGGAATCCAGATGATTTTATTTCCCCCCCGTAACTTTTATGTATCTTCCAAATGTTCTCCAAAAAGCCTACTTAGTCTTTATGACAACAAAGTATTTTAACAAATGTTTCTTCTTTAAAATTTGCATTAAAGTTGGAATCAGTAATGATGTGTTTTTACAGTTGTTGTAGTTTCTGTTTTGCCTGAGGGTAAACAAGACATTAAAATTGACAGCCTGAAGCCAAAATCTAAGAGCAGCTGACTTAGAATTCGCTGACTTTTCTTCAAATTGCCTTACACCTTTCAAGTCAGCCCAGTTGTATTTTCCTATCAATTCACTATATACTTTATCTCATCGTATTCAAAATTCCTAGTCTTGATACCATGGAGCAGAAGGATTTCAGAGTATTCTGGGTTATCAAAGACTGTGACTCATAATGAGGTAATGTGGCACAGAACTGGATCATGAAATAAACTAAGAAGTTGAATAATGAGTGCGTCATTTGGTGCTAATAGGTCATAACATTTATAGACTATGAAGACGTATTTCTTCATGTCTTAATTAATTTTACATGAAATGAAAAAAATCATGTCTCTGGCAGAATTGTAAAGTCATAAATATAAACAGAATAATTTCCAGTTTATATATTTCTTGAAAAATTGTCTAGAGACCACTTGTATCAAAACATTGGGTAATCAATACAAATGAATATTTCAGAGCTACACATTAGGTCTATTGACTCTTGTTTTGAAAATAATTATAGATTGGTTAGTTGTAAAACACAATCATGTAATTTAAAAAATTCTACAGAAGGATGGCAAAAATATGCTTCAATATGGATTTGTGCTCTGCTTGATAGGTTCAACAAAGTGCATAGTATTTAAATCTCTTATTAAGAAAGGATTTTTTCATTGTTTAAGTTTAAATAATAGTAAGTGAACACAGATCATTTTAATTAAAGTGAAAAAAGACAATGTGTCAGCTAACACATTTCCAGAACAATTAATTTAAAAATCAATTTCTATTATGCAAATTAAATTTAAAAGAAATCAAATTAATATGCCTAATAAAAGATTACCTGTTTTCTGTCAATGGAAATTTGCTTACTAATTATTTTCTCAAATGATGTATCAACTTACAATTGCACTTGCTAGAAATTCTTGAATTTTAGTACTCAGTACTACAATGGATCACTTTCATGATTATTATTTATTTTAAGTATGTGTTAGGTTTTTAAAATTTAAATAATGAATGAATTCTCAAAATGATATTCCATTCTCAACAATGCAAGGAGTTATTTCTGTTGTAGCAGACAATTTGAATACACATTTATTGTTATAAACTGGTATGATCCTGAAATAAAAACACTAACATATCATCTTTGGTTTTCTACAGTGCAAAAACTGTATGTTATAAAGTCATAGTCAAAGAAAACAAAGTATATTCATCTACACAAAACAAAATAGATTTATCTACATAGTTTATAAATATTCACAAACTCATACTTTGAGTATTTTATAATCTTTATTTTACATTATGCACTTTATTAAGCCTAACAAGTTAATTTTTTAAATTATTGGAAACCAGGTAAGATAATTAAAATTCTTTATACATTCATTGATTGTTAAGTATGAAATTATTATGATGATTTTATGTTATTTGAGTTTAAATGAAAATATATACTTATAAATTGACAATCAAAAAAATAGGTACTTTATGTAACAGAAATAGAGAATGAAATTATGTACTTTTTTCAATGTAAAGGTACACCTAGAGTCATATCTATGCAAATTACTAAAGATGTGTTAAACATGCAATTTTCAAACAAAAAAATTTCTTTTACTGGGATATAAATTATTTATAATAATATTAGGACTGGTGCTGTGGTTCAGGACTATAATCCTAGTGCTTCGGGAGGCTGAGGCAGAAGGATCATTTGAGGCCAGGAATTCAAGACCAACCTGGGAAACATAAGAGACTATCATCTCTACGAAAAAATAAAAAGTAAATAAAAAATAAGAAAAAATAAGCCAGGCTCAGTGGCTCAGCCTGTAATTCCGTGCCTTTGGGATGCTGAGGTGAGTGGATTGCCTGAGCCCGCGTGTTCGAGACCCGCCTGGGCAGCGAGACCTCATCTCTACAATAAAATCAAAAAATCAGCCGGGTGTGACAGCGCATGCTTGTAATTCCGGCTACTCGGAAGGCTGAGGCGGAAGGATCGCTGGAGCCCAGCAGGCGAGGCTGCGGTGGCTGGGAGCGGCCACTGCACTCCAGTCTGGGTGACCGAGTGAGACTCCAACTCAAAAAAAAAAAAAAAAAAAAAAAAAGAAAAGAAAAAATAATCAGATGTGGTGGCACATGCCTATAGTCCCAGCTACTCAGAAAACTGAGGCAGGAGGATTGCTTAATCTCAACGGGTGGAGATTACGAGGAACCAAGATCTTGCCACTGTGCTCCAGTCTGAGTAATGAAGCAAGACCCTGTCTCTGAAAACAAACAAATAAATAAACAATAAAATAAAATAACAATATAAAATAGTATTATGTGAGGAAAGAGAAATTTAGAGTTCATAATAGTTATTCTTATTTTGAATGAATATTATAACTTTATTTGCTTTGGGAAATGGCATACACGGAACTTATATTTGTGTAAAAAGTAATTTATAATTTAGACATTTATTCACACACAAATGTGTAAGCGTATGCTCATGTCTGAATAACAAAGCATGTAAAGACACTAAAACAAACTTAAACAAATTATGATCCCAATTTAAAGTTACTAATGCAAAAGGAA